GGCTCTAAGCAGCGCCGGGCACGGAGAGGGCATGAGCCGGCGGCCCAGGGCGGTCCGGAGGGAGGGGACGGCGGAAGCGGCGCCCGGAGCCCGGCCCCAGCATGATGAAATCGCCGCGTAAACGCCGCGGCGCGCGCGCAGCCGCACTTTCCCCACCCCGCGCCGCGGCGCCGGTCCGCGTCGGCTGATTCGACACCAAACCCGGAACCAGCCGGAGCGCTTTCGCCGCCGCGGGTGCGCTGCAGGGCTGCGAGCTGGCGGGTTTGCGCCGGAGCGCATCATCCCACCTGGTAACGTGGCCATTCGAGAACAGCTCCTTTCTGGGACATGCGGACCTAGTCGCAGCAGACCCTTCAAAGCATAAGCGTGGTCCGCGGGCAGTGAGGCTCGGCCCACCGTCCGGAACCCACGCCACTGCTTGTGTTCTTAGACCCCCTGCCCCTCAAAAGGATTTGTCATCATCGAAGGAGATAGCGACTTTGATTGTTCCTCAACCTCAGACGTCCCTCGACTGTTACCGGAATTAAGGGCCTCGCTGTTCGGTCCCACTACATGCCAACTCGAAAGACAAGAAACGGAGGCCAGGAAAGTGACTTCATTTGAAAAGACCGCTCAAAGCGATGATAGAGGACTCTTGTTATAAAGCCTTCCTTGCCGAAGAGCTGATCTAGGGGTGCAGGGGTCTTTGATGGGCGTTCCAGACTGGTGGGTACCCTTTCACAGGGAATGACCGGGTGTCTGATCAGCGGCCGGGTCATGAAATGCCTGTCAGTTCTGCAGTTGTCAAGAATAAAAATTATTATTTCTTCGGGCTGTTTTTGTCAGTGATTGGTTACCCATTACATAATGGATAGGCTAGAGGATGGGGTAGCTGCTCCCAGACTCTTCTGTACAGTGCCAAACTACCTGTAATGAGCACTGCATGTAGTGACTGAGAGCGTCCTTACTGTTCGGTTTCAGGATGAAGAAACAGGCCCCCAGAAGTCGCTGGCTTGCCCAGTTCACGTTGCACATCTGTGGCCTGCCCATGGCAAGGCACAGACTGAGAAAAAAAGAACAGTGAGGGGTTAGTGGAACTGAAGAAAACCCTGAATAAACCCCTTAACTTCACTTGTTTTTAGTGACTTGCTCTTACCAACAATTTTAAGTAAGTTATTTTTCAGGAACTCGGAAGTAGCTCAAACCAGTTGAAACCACCAGCCCTTCACTTGAGCCTGCACAAGTGAGGCGGGAAAGAATACCTCTGCTCCCCCAAGAGGTACTTTGCATTCTTCTATGGCTGCCCCAAATGCCTTTCAACCAGCCAGCCTACATTAAGCACCCCATGGCCACCCTGGGAGATACTTCTTTGGCTGCAGCGTGATTGAGAGTGGCCCTGTCTGGGATAAGTCTACCCAACAGCCCCCAAATGACTGCTCCTCTGCAGACGTCCTCACTTAGGTCCTCCAAGAGCCACTGCTCCTACCCAAAGTCAAACAGAAAGTCTGGCCCTGCTTGTGCTCAAGTTTGCTTTTTTCTTTTACAAGCAACCTCCCCATTCACTTAGTGGCCCAGCCCATGTCCTGCTCCCTCTTATGCTCTGGCATAAGTCCTCATAAAGCCTCTTCTGAATAGCATAGTCTTGCCTTCTCATGAACATTCTGCTCTGTCTGCAGTGGAGCTGCAGAGCAGCTACACTGAAAATTGGTAACATCAAAGCCCCCTTCAGAAGGCTCAGAAGAGAGTAGACATTGTCCCATTTGTCAGCAGGCTCAAGAACTAGCTCACATCTGATTTCCATCTTGAAGCTAAGAATCCATATTAGTCAGTGGCACAAGTGTCCACGGAGTGGCCTTTTGACATCTGAGGAGAGCCAAAAACTCCACCTTCACGGTATGTTAATGCCGCCATTTTTGAACATGTGTCCTGTGAAGAGCAATGAAGTTCAATTATACATAGAGACCACCAACTACTTCACTTTTTCTTACCTCCAAGCAGATTTCCTCACACTTCACATCATTATCTCATAAATAGTCCCAAACCCTATCCTCAGGGAGATGAACTTGAGACTTTCTCATCTCTAAACAATTGGTCAAGTTGGAAGTAAACTCTTTCTCTTGTGTAAAACTTGTTCTAGTGATTAGCGTAACATACAACGGGTAAAATGAGCCTTCTGTGGTCCAATTTGATAATCCAGGCAGGAGACAAGTCCAAATGGACCTTTAGCCCGTGGCTTGTGGGCCCCTTGCCCTGTTGCTGAGGGCTTGTGGATAAGTCCAAGAAGATGACTGGATTGCTAACCCCAGGGACTGTCCCTGGGACTGACAGCAAACCAACCTTCAAGGCATGATTTCACTTTTGCGATACAGAAGCAGCTTCCAGGTTTGGAAGGCATCTATTCAATGAATAACTGTGTTATTTGGAATCAGATTCCTTATTTCTTCTTCCTACTAATTTGGCCTTCATTTGTGAGGAACTTGGTTCCAGGATGCCTGGCATTTGGCTTGTGAAAGGAACCTTGGTTTGGCCTCCACTCTGAGGCTCCTAATTCCTAATTACAGGGAAGGATTAGGGGATCTCTGCTAACTCATCCTTTTTGTTTTGTCTGGTTGCAGAGATCTAGGTCCAGCTGCACCATAAGTATTCTCAGTTTTTAACCCCAAACTATATTGTAATACTTATGCTGCAGCTAGAACTACCCATCCATATGGTCTGATGGAGGTCACCCCATATTCCACTATGAGATGAAATAAAAACATTATGCAATGGCAGCAATAAGATGCTCCAAAGTTTCATAGAAATAATGTATCATAATGAAATTCCCAAGTGGAAATGAAAGTTGAAAGATTAAACTAATTTACCCTTTCAAGATAAAAAGAAATTTTCAGGCTCAGTTTTTTGCTGTCTGAGTTTCTTTTTGAAGAAAGAGTTACTGGGGATCAGAGCCTAGGATTCTCTATCACTGAGCTACATCCCCATTCATTTATTCATTCATTCATTTTTGACACAAGATCTCACTAAGTTGTCCAGGTTAGGCTCAACTTTCAATCCTCCTGCCTCAGCCTCCTGAGTAGCCACTGCACCCAGCTTGCCTCAATTCCTTATTCTAAGCAGGAAGATGACTCTCATATGCCATTTATTATCCAAAGTTCATAAGGCACCAAAGATGATCACAGCTCTGGCTCCATGTCTACAAATTCCAAAGCAAATCAGTCCCCATTCTCACAGCTATTACATGGCTGAAGTGTGGTTCAAGAACCTGCCAGGGAAGATTAACACAACAGAGTAAGGAAGGGCTGATGGAAGTCATTGTGTGGGGCTGCAGATGGGACTGGACCTCTTAGGCTCTATTTCCCTCTGATGTTCTTTTCCTCTTCTTTCTAAAAGTTTCTAACAGTTTAATCTGTTCCTTCGAGTGGCCATTTTCTTTAACACATTGTGTTAGCTTTCCATTGCTGTAACAAAATATCTGAGGAAGTCAATTTAAAGAGAGGAAAATATTTATTTTGTCCCATGCTTTCAGAGGTTCAAGTCCGTGGTAAGCCAGTTCCATTGCTCTTAGGCCTGTGGTGAGGCAGAAACATGGTAGAAAGTTGTGACAGGGGAAGACTACTCATGTTCTGGGAGCCAGGAAGCATAGAGAAAGGGAAAGAAGCTGGGGACAAGATATACCACATCCTCAATTACCTATATCATCCAATTAAGCCCTACCTCCTAATAAGCCCAATGAGCTATGAATTCATGAGTGGACTAATTCACTTGGTGAAGTTAGAGTCCTTCTGATCCAATCACATCCCCAAAGCCAGTCAGCTGCCATCCATGCCTTCAACACAATGAGACTTTTGGGGAAATTTTTGACAACAACCATAACACACATTTTCTGAGTCTGAGTGAGTAGCACTTTTCTTTTTACCTTTCCCTTTGCATTTTGTTCATACATTAATTTTTCTTACATTTTCTACTAGAGTTTACCCTTTAAGGTATCATATAGGGAATAATTGAAATTAGGGAGTTCTAGGATTATTCAGGGCTTTGAGAGGGGCAGTGATGGGTATTGAATTCAGGGTTTCGTAAATGCTAGGCAAGCACTCTCCTGGTGAGCTACATCTCCAACTCTTGTTTAATTTTACTTTTGAGACAGGATCTTGCTAAGTTGCTCAGGCTGACCCCAAACTTGGGATCCTTCTGCCTCACCTTCCACAGAGGGTGGAATTACAGGCTTGTGCCACCACACTGAGCCCAGAGCATCTTTCACCTTGTCCACCTTCACTGCCCACACTAGATGGCCCTAACCAGAGACATGAGGACCAGGCTTTCAGGAGGTGTCTAGTGTGGTACGGGATGCTCTGAGTGCCGATGCCACGACAGAAATGATGGGCAATGATAGTGTTGGGGGTGGCTATGTGAAAGGAGCTAGGGAGGAAGCCAGAGGAGGCCAGGGAGAACAACCAGGCCACAATGCCTGTCTGCCCTGAGCAAAGCAGGCAGGGAGAGATGGTCTGCCCTGAGCGAAGGGAACAGGGGTGGAGAATATTAGTGTGCCACATGGCCTAAGGAGGGTTCAGCAAAACCCTTGGGGAGTTCTTGAACCAAAATGCACAAAACAAAGATCTCCAGGACCCCAGTGTCTGCCACATGCAGACCCTAGCAGGGAGCAGCCTGTGGGAAGCCCCTTCTTGGACCTCAGAGAGCAGCCCAAGGCCCTGGGTTCTGTAGGATGTGGGAGATGGGCCACTGTCTTGGTTACTTTTCTCTTGTTGCTGAGACAAAATACCCAATGCCCAAAATGAAGGAAGGAAAGGTTTACTTAGCTTACAGTTTGTGGAGGTTTCAGTCCATACTTGGCTGGCTCCGAGATGTAGAGTGGCTCGTGGCAGAGGGCAAACGTTCAGGGCAGCAGAACACAGCAAAAACAACAAGAGCAAAAGGGAGGAACGGTGGCAAGCAGCCTCTTTCCTTCCCTTACATTGTAAACAGGCTACCCCCACCTAAGGGGCATGTAGCTCTCACATAATCTCCATGCCCTCTTCTTCCACAGGCTCAGGATGTATACAAAGCAAGCATCCTGGCTCCCTGCTGAGTAACTTAGCCAGCCCTCTAGACTCCCCAAGTTGACACAGTGTAGCAGCCATAACAGCCACCCATCAGGTCCACAGCTAACCAGGCTTGGCCTTCATTTGTTGTCATCCTTTCCTGGTCTTTCACGTTCTCACTGTGGAACGTGATGGTGTTTGAGTCCACTGCTTCCCAGTCTGGCCCGTGGGGCTACCAGTGCCATTACCACATGCTTTCCTTTCTGCCAGCTAGATGCCCTGTGCTTATGGGGGCAGAACCCCTGAGCGGCTGGATGACCACAAGGCACAGAGCATGTTGCTCCTCCTCTTTCCAATAAGCTCTTTGAACAGCTGAGCTGAGGAAAAAGTGATCGTGCATTGCCTCCACACTGCTGGACGCCTGGGTCTACCAGCTGGCTCTGTCCTCTTACCCTGCCTACAACACCATCATTGGCATGAGGGAGACAGCTCAACCGTGAAACTCCATCTGGAACACAGGAAGAGGAGGAAAGGTATAAGGAGAACTGGATTTACAAAAGTGCCGTTTATGCAAGTTTTCCAAGAAATGTGGAGTGAGGCAAAGCCAGGGTCGCCGCAGAGCCTGGTGGGGGTCACCTCAGCCTGCGGGCTGATCTGTGGGTACAGATGGCACTTCTCTAGGTCAGAAGGTCAGGGTCTGTGAGAAGGCAGGTGCCACCCTCCTGCGCACTCCCCTTCTCCACCTGTGCTCTGGGCTGAGCTGCGTGCCACCCACTCATGAGTCCAGCCTGTTCTTCCAGTCCACACCTCTAAGATGTCACCAGGATGCTAAGCGACACTTCCCAGGCCCTGGCATGCAGGGAAGGCAGCCCATTCCTAGTTCGGTCCCCTCACCCAACCCTCCCTGTGA